CGCTGATGCGGGGTTCCCTCCGCTGCCTGGGAGCCGATATACCAATTCCAACCTTCCTGCCTCAGGGCATTCCAGAACTTGTTCCCTCAAGGCCTAGATGGCATATGGATCTGCCATCTCATGCGCGGCCACCAGGTCCATAGCCTTCCCAACATCTGACAGGCTGAGGGAAAATGCTTCCACCCTCTCTCCTGCTTCGGGCTTTGCCCAGAGCCTCCTGCGCTCCCCTTCCGACTCCTCGATTGTGAATGATCCTGGATTGGGCCGGTTCCTTATACTCCTTGACCCGGTGTTCCTGCAAGTAATTATTTCATAATTCCCGCAGGCAGGATCGCATAAGAGGAAGATCAACGTCCCATCATGTTTGTTGAACATCACGGTCTCTGTCCTGCTTAGGAATGACCTCCCAGGAGGATTCCATGGCCCACGTCTGGCATTATGAAGAAGCATGCCCTGACCTTCACCTTTCCAACCTCGACGAGCACATTCGAGGCTGTCCCGCAAAACATGGCCTTACAGCTGGCTCCATGCAGAATACCGCAGTCAGAACGGTCTATATCCAGTCCGAATCTGATCGCGTCCGCCTCCCGAATAATATTCATCTCTGCCCCGGTGTCCACCATTGCTGCGCACTTGGAACCTTTCACCATCAAATCCACCGTACCGCAGGCTACGCACTTCCAGTCCATCTTCGTACCTGACTCTGCCCACTCTGCCTCCTTGGGCAGGATCGTACCCAGATGGACATTGGGCACCAGGCGCCGTGATAACCTCCCCTTCAGTTCATCGCGGAGTCGCGGGGCTGACGCTAGGATTTCCTTCAGGGTCATGAGGTCATTATGCCCTTCCAGCAGCCGGTCAATCACCTTCTCTACGTCAAATCCTTTTTCCAACCGGACGGCGTATTTCTTCTTTTTGGGCGGTCCGTCATGTATGACCGGTTCGGCCTCTCCCCTGGTCCCCTTTTTCCTTGTCCGCTGCTCCGCTCTCTTATCCTCTTCTCTGCGCAGCCTCTCGTCCGCTTCCTCTTCGTCATCGTCGTCCTCTACTTCCACAGCCTCTTTCCTTCTCCTTGGTTCGTGTTCCCCCCTTGGAGGCTCTTGGCTGGTACTGGTCTTGGCTTGATACCTCGTTCGCGCTGCCTGTGCCAGCCAGACCTGCGGAGTGAGGGGTCTCCCCCTCATTCCTGGTTGAGGGCACGACCCCACCACATTTACCCCGGGTCGCCCAGGCGCTGACTCCGGGCCGGAGTCATAGAGGAATACTGTGGGGATGTTAGACCTCCATCCTTTCACTTCTTTACAGAGGCCCACCAACTTCTGTTGGTACCTCCCCATCTTATCCAGCAAGTCCTCCATCTTCTCAAATAAGACGGACGGAGGCTCCATTCTTTCCTCCTCATCCTCGTCATCTGACTCGATGATTATGGTCTCTTCCGTCTCACTTCCTCCTCGTAGCCCTTGAGTCACTTCCTCATCACTTCCCACTTCTTCCACCCCAAACGGTGGTTCCTCCTTTTCCTGCCATAGCGTGAACATGGCAGGGGGTGGCGGCCCAACTGCCGCTCTTCGTTGGGCTTCAGCCCTCACTCTTCCAAGCCTTCTGTCAATGGCCTCCCCAAACTGATCGTAGATATTCCCATCCACAGTAGAGGAAATCAGTCCGCTTCTCTCGTCTTCCCGTCTTATATTACAGAACCTTATAGTGTGGCCCTGTTGGTCACTATGTTGACAGATGGCCCTCCTCCAGTCAAAGCGGGGTCTTCCATACCCCTGACTTCCCTGATCCCCCTGACCTTGATACCCCTTGCCTTGATAGCCCTGGCCTTGGTACCCCTGGCCTTGACTCCCTTGACCTTGGTACCCCTGGCCTTGACTCCCTTGGCCTTGGTACCCCTGGCCTTGACTCCCTTGGCCTTGGTACCCC